AGAAATTGAATTTTTTATTATTCCCGGCTTTTGATTGGCTTCAAATTTTGAATATTTCCGACTCTCGATAAGATTACAAATTCAAATTTTGAATATTCCTTGCTCTTGATTGGCTAAGAAATTCAAATTTCAAACCCAATCAAGAGCCGGAAAAATTCAAAAATTGACTATGGAAGCCAATCAAGAACTAGAAATATTTGAAATTTGAATTTCTGAGCCAATCAAGAGCCGAGAATATTCAAAATATGGAACCAATTAAGAGCCGAGAAAATTCAAAAATTAACTTTGGAAGCCAATCAAGAGCCGGAAAATATTCAAAATTTGAATTTCTAAGTTAATCAAGCGCCAGGTATAATCAAACTTTGAATTTTAAACTCAATCAGAAGCTGGTAAAATTCAAAAATTGACTTTGGAATCCAATCAAAAGCCGGGAATATGCAAAATTTAAATTTTTAAGTCAATTAAGAGCCAGAAATATTCAAAATTTGGAGCCAATCAAAAGCCGGAAATAATCAAAAATTCAATTTCTAAACCAATCATGAGCCGAGAATATCCAAAATTTGAATTTCAGAGCTAATTAAGAGCCAGAAATATTCAAAATCTGAATTTTAAACCCAATCAAGAGCCGGGAACATTAGAAAATTGAATTTTAGAGCCAACTACAAGAGTCGGGAATATTCACAATTTGAATTTCTAAGCCAATCAAGAACCGGGAATATTCAAAATTTGAAGCCAATCATGAGCCTGGAATAATCAAAAATTCAATTTCTAAACCAATAATGAGCCTGGAATATTCAAAATTTGAATTTCAGAGTCAATCAAATCCAAGAATAATTAAAATTTGAATTTGAAACCCAGTCAACAGCCGGGAAAATTCAATATCTGAAGCCAATCATGAGACGGGAATAATTGAAGATTCAATTTTTAAATCAATCATCAGCCGGGAATATTCAAAATTTGAATTTCAGAACCAATCAAGAGTCAGGAATAATTAAAATTTGAATTCTAAATCCAATCAAGAGCCGGGAAAATTTAAAATTCGAAGCCAATCAAGAGCCGGGAATAATCAAAAATTCAATTTTGAAACCAATCAAGAGCCAGGAATGATCAAAAATTCGATTTTTGACCCAATTAATAGTCAGAAATGATTAAAAATCGAATTTTAAACCCAAACCATAGTTATGAAAATTTAAAAAATCCATTTTTAAACCAATCAAGAGCCGGAAAAATTTAAAACATTTAATTTTAAACTCAATCAAGACCTGGAAATGATTAAAAATTGAATTTCTAATCCAATCAAGAGCCGGGAATATTCAAAATTTGAAGCCAATCAAAAGCCGGGAATAATCGAAAATTCAATTTCTAAACCAATCATAAGCCGAGAATATACATTGCGTTGCCAGTAACATATTTGACGCAAATAAATCTGATGTGTGCATAGTTAGGACTTATGTTACGTCTTCACGGTTACGTTACATCCATTGTAAAATGAGCTTTAGTTATCACTAAAATAACTTTAACAACATAAACCAGTACTTACAGATAAAAAGAAAACCTACGAACACAGCTACAATATTAATACAACACTTTTTGAGGTTAGAAAACTTTTCATTAAAGGTCTTATACGTAATGTATGGCCATGCTTAAAAGGACTTTTAGGCGGTCAACGTAAGTCGATGCGTCATTCTGCTTATGAAACTAAAGTGAAGTCAAGTTTTTGGCAGGTGTTTGGCACCAAAAATAAACCATTGAATTGCCTATACTGCCACTTTTTTGGTGCCAAAATACCTGGCTTCATTTTCCAACTCCATGTTACTACTCCTTCACCTTTACCTGCTCTAAGGTCTAATCTTTTATAACGATCAGCTGATTGTATTTCTAACGTTCACGCTAATAACGGAAGACGGATACAAAAGAACGTAGACTACAGGGCGTTAAGATTTGACGCAAAGGTTCCAGTGCATAGCGATTCTGTGACAAAGACGGCACTATGAGTACTTGAAGGTCCCATTTGGCTTGGCGAATGCTCCGGCGGTGTTCCAAAAAGTGCTTCAAGGTATGCAAAATAATTTGGTGCTGGTATACATGAATGATGTTCGCGCGGGAGTTATGAAATCCTTAACTGGTATTATAGTTCAGTAGGATATAAAAGAATCAAATATAATAAAAGATAAATTGATGGGAAGATTTCAAATGAAAGATAGAGGGAAACTTGGAACTTTTTTGGTTCTTAATATTAATTATGACAGAGTCAAAATACACTAGTGAAAAAAAAATTTGGGATCGACGAATGCACTAGTTCAAGCATACTTATTGATCCAAAATTAAAATTTGAACTTTTTGATGGAAAAAATAAAAAGACAGAAAACCTTTTCGTAAGTTGGTCACATGCATGTAGACCCGATATTTGTTATTCAGTAAATTTGACCTAATATCCAAAATGGTGAAATAAAGATGTGTTTTTTCTTGCACTCACGCGAGGAGTCTATAATACTGTCTTTCTAGTATTCACAGGAGGAGCTTTTGGCAGAGAACCTGCTATCTTATACTACTACCAAAGAAAAATTGTAGAATTTTTAAACGTAATTGTGCAGTCCCATTTTAGTTGTTCAATGACGAATGATAGATGCTTTTTTTCTCGCACTCACGGGAGAAATCTATAGTGCTATCTCTCTCACACCCATAGGAGGGGTCTCTGTTGCAGAACTCGCTATCTTATACTACTACTAAGAAAATATTGTCGTAGGACAGTTAAATATAAACAAAAATTTTGATTATTACTTGTCGAATAATTATGAATTTCAAGAAAAACTAATTCAATAATAAATGAATTTGACCCAGTTAATATTCCCCCATAGACATTTTTCCCCCTAACAAAAAAATCCTCTTCCAATTTTCCTCCAAAACCAAACACCGTAGCGGGGTGTGTATTTTATTAGCGATTATAAAACCACGCGAAATTTGCATTTTAATGCTACACCGCCCCGGCTCAATTCTTTCGCACAAACAACTCCGATGTAAAATCTCCTCACGGACCCAATCTAGCAACAAATACCTCTGGATTTTATACGAAATGAGCGGGCTAGTTTCTGGTCATGAACCATCATAAAAGAGTTGCAAAGTATGAGCAAGAGCCCGGGGCCAATAAAGAGAGTTTCGGAATTGGGTCGTCAAGTTGAGGGAGTTTTATGTAAACTTTGCGGTTTGAACTTAAAACAAAGACAATATATATATATATATATATATATATATATATATATATATATATATATATGATGTGAACAGGCCTCAACCCCAGCTTTCTGCACTGCAAAAGGAAACTTCTCCTATTGCACTCTCTAGCCAACTTTCTCTTTGTACCTGACCAAGTCTCAAGCTGCTCAACTGCCTCCTGGCTGGGGTTGAGGCCTGTTCACATCATGGCGTCTACCAGACTAGTGTTGTTGAGTAGGTCTGCTAGTGACGTCACATCAAATGTGTATCTGCTAATAATGGAACATAGCGTTGTATACCTAACCTAACTTTATAATGACATGTGTCTTAAATCATAATTCAACAGGTGGTCTTGACAGTCAGCTGTTTCCGGTTGACATTTTCAAAAATAATTAAAGAAAATTCCAAATTACATATTTGATGGATGATCCTCAGACTCATAAGATATATTGTAAAAGTCTCTCTCTGTAACTGTTTTAATATTTTAATATGTTGTATTGTCCCCATTTACACAATCCATCTTTTCCCTCAACATTTTTTAACGTGTATTATGTACTAGTGACTGAAAATTAAGTTCTCACTGTCCTCGATGCTGATGAAACAGATCAATAACACAACATTTATCTTTAATCTCAACAAAGATGTAAGTTACATTCAAATATTGTTTTATTGTCTTTAACTTATATATTGATCCATAGTCTCCCTGATGATGATAATAAACATTATCAAAAGCTCGGATAAACTTTAAAGAGTATACTTTATTTTTGCTGCATTCCCCAAACCGATTCCCAAATATATATATATATATATATATATATATATATATATATATATACATATATAAGAGGTGGACATGATTGTGATAGTGGGGGGCAGTGGCCTAGGCAGAAGGTACTGAATCATTGCAAAGCGTTGCGAGAATAATGGAGCTATAGTGAGTACTTGAAGGTCCCATTTGGCTTGGCGAATGCTCCGGCGGTGTTCCAAAAGGTGATCAATAAGATGCTTCAAGGCATGCGAGATAATTTAGTGCTGGCGTACATGGATTATGGATGATGTTCGCATGGGAGTTATGAAATCCTTAATTGTTATAATAGTTCAGTAGGATATAAAAGAATTAAATATAATAAAAGATAAATTGATGGGAAATTTTTAAATGAAAGATATAGGGAAACTTGGCAATTTTTTGGGTCTTAATATTAATTATGAGAGAGTCAAATTACACTAGTGAAAAAAAATTTTGGAATCGACGAATGCAATAGTTGAAGTATACCTATTGATCCAAAATTAAAATTTGAACTTTTTGATTGAAAAAAGAAATAAACAGAAAACCTTTTCGTAAGTTGGTCGGCTGCCTTATGTATTTGATGTTGGACCCGATATTTGTTATTCAGTAAATTTTTTCTCTCGCTATTAAGATAAATTTGACCTAATATCCAAAATGATAAAATAAAGATGCTATAATTCTGTCTATTTAGTATTCACAGGAGGAGCTTTCGGCACAGAACCTGCTATCTTATACCACTAACAAGAAGAAATTGTAGAAATTTTAAACGGAATTGTGCAGTTCAATGATGAATGATAGATGCTTTTTTACCCACAACTCTTTTGGTGCAGAACTCGCTATCTAATACTACTACCACGAAAAATCAAATTCCATTTTTGTGAAAAATGTTGCAATATCAAATAAAACTGCACTTTTCAATAATTCAATGTAAAATCTAGAGACACATTCCATGATTAATGTCCGATAAATTCCACAAGGAATATCAGAACCACTGATCGATTTATCTTATAGAATCTCCCACACAAGTTTCAACATTAGCCACATCTATCTATAAATTCACATATAAGTATAAGAAAAGGCCAAAAGTTGCCCGGAACTTTTTGTTTTTATTTAAAAGCCTCGCCATGTTGAACGACATTATCTAAAGTTAGACTCGAACGTTACCAGCGGATTTTCGTTTCGATTTTAAATCAGGAACGACGCCAAGTTTGTTCCGAAATTAGGTTTGCAATCTCGCATTTTTATGTGGTAATGGTTATAGTATTGAGTTTGAGAGAGTAGGAAATAGCGCGGTGTTTTTCCAGTTTTGCGATAGGATTAAATAAATGGCTTGATTTATTTGTGAAACTTATTCACGTACATTGTATGAGAGATTTATTGTTTTGAATTAATTTGTTTATCTAAGAAAATTCATGAGAATGTGGGTCAAGTTACGTAAATAGTGAAGTGTATTATGAAACTCATTGTCCATAAATCGTTTAAACTGACGATAAAATGGTCCAGCCATTAAATCTATAAACATAATACGGCCATTTTCATTCCGAAGAAAATGGAAACGGACCACTTAAAATACTTTACGCTGTAAAACGCTTTACTCGAAAAATATCTTCTAGAGAAAGCGGATGGTAGAAAGAGACATCCAAGGATTATTCTTATTTATTACCGTGTCGCAATTATTATATATTTTACCACCCCGTTCCTTTTGTATTACGAGAATATGATTTACGTTTTCGAGTTCATTTATTTTAGTGAAAATTATGTTGTTTGATGTCAAACTTCGAATTTAAAAAAAATATATTTATTGTCTTTGTTCTAAGTTCAAACCGCAAAGTTTACATAAAACTCCCTCAACTTAACGACCCAATTCCAAAACTCTCTTTATTGGCCCCGGGCTCTTGCTCATACTTTGCAACTCTTTTATGATGGTTCATGACCAGAAACTAGCCCGCTCATTTCGTATAAAATCCAGAGGTATTTGTTGCTAGATTGGGTCCGTGAGGAGATTTTACATCGGGGTTGTTTGTGCGAAAGAATTGAGCCGGGGCGGTGTAGCATTAAAATGCAAATTTCGCGTGGTTTTATAATCGCTAATAAAATACACAACCCGCTACGGTGTTTGGTTTTGGAGGAAATTGGAAGAGGAGTTTTTATGTTAAGGGGGAAAAATGTCTATGGGGAACATAGTCATTTCAACATTGATAAAATCAAAATAAAACTTGTCACTAGAGTACTTACATTTAAATTATCGCCTTCAAAAGTCACTTAATTATTCTTATCATTATTTACTCAAAATAGCTAGAGCACGCACATGAAAACTGAAAGGTTTACTTCTTTCTTAATTCGAGTTATTTACTGTAATTTTTACATTTCCCGAGGCACGACTTTTTAAACTTGAGATAATTCGCTACTTCTAAATACTACTAATTATTGTCGATTGATGATTCCTCTCTACTTGAACGGTCGCCCCTTTTATCCATCAAAATCGACATTTGACCATCTGTAATTCAATTCTATTGGGCGACCCAGATATTATTCTAAAAATTTTAACTTGCTCATCGGATAATAATGAAATCTGTGTCGAAATTGTATGATTATTTGGGGTCAATGAAATGAGAAAAAATGTAGAGGACACTTAGTTCAAGGAAAAGCCGACTCGTGCCGGCAATAAATTATACGATCTTTTGAAATTTCTGTCATTTTGGGACCTAATTTAATTAGTAATGTATGTTGTATTTAATAAAATAAATAGTTTAAAGTTCGTTTTGGTTACTGTGTGGTAGAACAGGTGGTCCTTCGAATAAAAATACCCAATCACAACGTCCAACAACATTTAAATATTTCAAATTTCAATTTCATTCTTGACAGCGAAGTGTCAAGAAGTAAATAATTATTTCCGATTTTTGATTAAACGTATTTATTATAGAATTATCTTTACTTCCCTTTTGGTACCGCAATTAAAAAAAAAATGTATCTTTTATTTATTATAATCATTAATCTGAACTGAGGTCAAGGTTGTACAATATGTTCTAAATTTGAGATTATTGGATAAGTACCTATAATGCCAAAAATTGATCAATTTTTCATCTGGGTAATATTACTAGTAAACTTGAGAATTTCGGTTATATCTCCTTTATACCTTCAACGTTTAACCTTTGATTTCATACAGTTTAAATTTGATTCTACTGATTTTATTTTCTGGCAGTAGCTGACCATATTTATCCATAGAATATTATGATTTTCTGCTTCAAATTGATTTTCTGTAAACTTAAATCCTTCATATTTCCAAGTTAATGATGTGGCCAGCGACTGTTTAAGAAACTTATGTATATGGCAACTATATTGGGGTTGGCCAATGGTTTTGACAAAACCACACAGATATATTGTAGGTTACCAGTGTCTTGTGGTTACCGTTGGGTTACTACTGTTTGTGAAACTGGCCCTCATAGTGTTTTACCAACAATTGGTTTTATATTTTAAAATTATTTAATTCTTGATTTTTACCCTCACTGTGGAATATACTATGTCAGGATTTGGTTGAGTTATGTACCACATTTATTTCCTTTTCAGAGTTATCAATTACCGTCTGCAGATTTTTTTTAGGTGTGTTTCTTAATTTTCTCCCGTACATATTTTAAGTAATTTTTGAATATATATTTTTTTTTAATTCGCCCTTGCTATTCTGTACTTATTATACTATCAACCCAACACTAATAATTATTCGCTGAGCAAACCGAGCATATTATGGGCCTCTTGTTAATTTTTTAACAAAAAGGGTTATACAACAAGTAATTCCGTCTTCTCCTGGCGCTGTATCCATCTCTGAATGTGAATGAAATATTACTTGTATTTTTTTTTGTTAATATTTTTACTAGGTGGGGACCCTCGAAGGACCGTTGGTTCAACAATCATGTGGTTAAGGGGCATAAGTGCCCTAGAACCGTACCGATTTTGAAGGAGAAATGGACACATATATTGATAAAGAAAGTATGTTTTCTATGATGGAAAAACTCTAACTAATAAATTTCGAAAATTGCAAGTTGCTGTGCTGGCTCAAAGTATTTTTCAGGAACCTTCAAAGATGACTTTACAGAAGTTTTATGATTTTTTCGGGTATATCAACTTTCAACTTGCTTTATATCATGGAGAAACTCTAATTACAATAGAACTCCGAGTCTTAATTATTATCCAAGCTTTGGATTAACCGACCAAATTTAAATACTTAAAGACCCTGATTATCTCAGAGACGCGCGTCTATACTCTGTATTAACCGAGTTTCTAAAACATTCATACATTATATACATTCAGATTATATGAGTGTTTAGTTATCCAAGAATGGTATCCCCCACATAATTTCGAATAACCGGGATTATTATACAGGGTGTTCATTTTAAAACTTATCATCTCGGGGTTGAATAATTTTAGAAAAAAATTTGAAGGGTGATGAGTTTTTATGCAAAATTCACTTCCACCTTCTCAACTCCCCAGTCCCAAAATCCACCCTCTAGAAAATCTCAAATGGGAAAGGGGCTGATAAGTTTTAAAACGAACACCCTGTATATATACAAATTAAATTATTTCCAATTTTTGATTAACCTTATTTATTATAGATTTATCTTTACTTCCCTTCTGGTACCGCAATTTGAAAAAAAAAATGTATCTTTTATTTATCATAATCATTAATCTGAACTGAGGTCAAGGTTGTACAATATGTTCTAAATTTGAGATTATTGGATAAGTACCTATAATGCCAAAAATTGATCATCATTTTTCATCTGGGTAATATTACTAGTAAACTTGAGGATTTCGGTTATATCTCCTTTATACCTTCAACGTTTAACCTTTGATTTCATACAGTTTAAATTTGATTCTACTGATTTTATTTTCTGGCAGTAGCTGACCATATTTATCCATAGAATATTATAATTTTCTGCTTCAAATTAATTTTCTGTGAACTTAAATCCTTCATATTTCCAAGTTAATGATGTGGCCAGCGACTGTTTAAGAAACTTATGTATATGGCAACTATATTGCGGTTGGCCAATGGTTTTGACAAAACCACACAGATATATTGTAGGTTACCAGTGTCTTGTGGTTACCGTTGGGTTACTACTGTTTGTGAAACTGGCCCTCATAGTGTTTTACCAACAATTGGTTTTATATTTTAAAATTATTTAATTCTTGATTTTTACCCTCACTGTGGAATATACTATGTCAGGATTTGGTTGAGTTATGTACCACATTTATTTCCTTTTCAGAGTTATCAATTACCGTCTGCAGATTTTTTTTAGGTGTGTTTCTCAATTTTCTCCCGTACATATTTTAAGTAATTTGAATATATATTTTTTTTTAATTCGCCCTTGCTATTCTGTACTTATTATACTATCAACCCAACACTAATTATTATTCGCTGAGCAAACCGAGCATATTATGGGCCTCTTGTTAATTTGTTAACAAAAAGGGTTATACAACAAGTAATTCCGTCTTCTCCTGGCGCTGTATCCATCTCTGAATGTGAATGAAATATTACTTGTATTTTTTTTTGTTAATATTTTTACTAGGTGGGGACCCTCGAAGGACCGTTGGTTCAACAATCATGTGGTTAAGGGGCATAAGTGCCCTAGAACCGTACCGATTTTGAAGGAAAAATGGACACATATATTGATAAAGAAAGTATGTTTTCTATGATGGAAAAACTCTAACTAATAAATTTCGAAAATTGCAAGTTGCTGTGCTGGCTCAAAGTATTTTTCAGGAACCTTCAAAGATGACTTTACAGAAGTTTTATGATTTTTTCGGGTATATCAACTTTCAACTTGCTTTATATCATGGAGAAACTCTAATTACAATAGAACTCCGAGTCTCAATTATTATCCAAGCATTGGATTAACCGACCAAATTTAAATACTTAAAGACCCTGATTATCTCAGAGACGCGCGTCTATACTCTGTATTAACCGAGTTTCTAAAACATTCATACATTATATACATTCAGATTATATGAGTGTTTAGTTATCCAAGAATGGTATCCCCCACATAATTTCGAATAACC